GTCCCACATACAGCAACTTGAAGGATGTGCAGCTATGACATACAACTATCTACTGGGGCTTTGGGGGGAAAAAATAAATAAATAAAATCTTTAAAAAAAAGAAAACCAAAGAGAAAGGAAAAAATCTTGAAAGCACGAGAGGAGGAAAAGATGCATGACCAAGAGCACTGATGAAAAAAAGAGAGGGTAACACAAATGAATAAAATGAGGAATGAAAAAGGGAACATCATTACAGATGCCCCAGAAATTAAAAAGATGATATGAGACCACTAATAACTTTATGTTCTTAAGTTTGAAAGCTAAAAACATGCCCAAACTAATAAACAAAAACGACAGAACATCTAAAGAGTTAGATTGATCCCATATTTAAAATCTTCCTATCAAGAAAATTTCAGGCCTAGACAGCTTCACCAGTGAATTCTTCCAAATTTAAGGAATAACTTTGGCCTTACACATAGTGAATAAACACAGGAAATTCTTCCCTACTCATTTTATGAGGCTAATATAAGCCTGACACCAAAACTTAATGAAGACATTAGAAGAAAAGAAAATTATGAGCCAATACTTCTCATGAACATACATGCAGAAATTTTACACAAAATATTCACATATCTAACCAAGTGAAATAGAAAGTTTAATACATTATGGCCAAGTAGGATTTACTTCAGGAAGAAAAGTTTGGTTCAATATTTGAAAAATCAATGTAATTTACCACACTGATATAAAAAAAAGAAAACCATATGATCCTCTTGATAGACACAGAAAATTCATTTGTCTAAATTTGGCTCTTATTAATGTAAAAAAGTCTTAGCGAATGAGAAAGAGAACTTCCTCAACTTGATAAATAGCATCTATAGTAAGTGTTTTATAGATGTTAGATACAAGGACAATATACAAAAAGCAACTGTACTTCTAGCAACAAACAACTGGAAAATAAAAAAAATTAAATACCATTTAGTTTCAACAATAAACATCAAATACGAGTCATAAATCTAACAAAAGATGTGCACTGAAAACTATAACAAATTGCCGAGAGAAATTAAAAACTTAACGAATGTAGATATATACCATATTTATTAGTTGGAAGATTCAATATTGATAAGATGTCAATTTTCCCCAAATTAACATACAGATTCACAAACAAAATCCCAGCAAAGATTTTTCATTTTTGGTGAGAATTAACAAGTTGATTCTAACATCAATAGGAAATCGAAAGGACTTAAAATAGCCAAGACAGTCCTGAAAAAGAAGAAAAAAGTTGGAGGACTAATATTACAGATTTTAAGACAGTAGGGGGCCGGCCCAGTGGCACAGCTAGTAAGGGCGCGCGCTCCGCTTCGGCAGTCCGGGGTTGGCAGGTTTGATCCCGGTAGCGCACCGACGCTACCCCTTGTCAAGCCATGCTGTGGCAGCGTCCCATATAAGATGGGCACAGATTTTAGCCCAGGGCCAATCTTCCTGAGCAAAAAAGAGGAAGATTGGCATCGGATGTTAGCTCAGGGCTGGTCTTCCTCACACACACACACACAAAAAAGACAGTGGTACAACAAAAAGACAAATAAAACAGAATATAGCCCAGGAAGAGAGCCACATATATAATATCACTTGATTCATGATAAAAGCTCCTTGCAATTCAGATGGGCAAGAACGACGTTTTCAATAAACAGTGCTGGAACAACTGGGTACTTAATGGGAAAAAAAAATTAACCTTTATCCCTGCCTCTCACCATACACAAAAATAAATTCAAGATGGATCACAGACTTAAATGTGAATGCTAAATCTATAAAGCTTCTAAAAGAAAACATAGGAGAATATTTTCAAGACCTTGGAAATAAGCAAAGATTTCTTTTCAAGATACAAAAAAGCACTAATCATAAAAGACAAAGGGCTAAAACCTGCTAGAAAAAGACCATAAATAGGCAATCACACACACAAAAAGATTTTAAAATGTTCAAGCACACTCATAATGAAAGAAATAAGAAAACAGAGACATTTTTCATGTATTAGATTGGTAAAAACTAAAAAGCATGATGATACATCCTGTTGGCTAGGCTGTGGGGGAAACAGGCACTCTTACACATTACAAGTGGGAATGAAAACTGGTACAGCAGCTCTAGAGAGGAATTCAGCAATACCTGACAAAACTGCATTCACACTTAGCTTTTGACCCAGCAATTCCACTTCTAGGAATCTACCCTGAAGATATGCCTCCAGCAATACAAAAATACATATATACAAAGTTATTTATTACAGCATTGTTTCTAGTAGCAAAATATTGTAAATGACCTAAATGCCCACAATAGGAGAGTGGTTGAATAAACCTTAGTAAATCCATATACTGGAAAACTATGTAGCTGTTAAAAAAAAAAAAAGAACTAGGAGTATCTCTTTGAATTGTGGCGGAGTGATGTCCAGGATATAACATTAAGTAAAAGAAGCAATGTTCAAAACAGTACCTAGAATATGCTATCTTTAATGAAAAAAAAGAGGCCATGCAAAAGAATACATGTATCTGCTCACTGGTGTGAAGAAATACCAGTAGAATAAAGCAGAAACTAATGAGGTTGATTATGCTCAGGGAGTGGGCAGGAACTACATTAAGGTTTTCACACTCAAAATACTGTGACATGTTACAATCAACTAGGATGTGGGGAACGGAAAGCATAACACACAAAGGTAAATGTATGAAAACTGAGTAGCAAAACTACACTGAAGAGGGGCTAAGAAAAGAACTAAGTGAAATAACTCAGGAAACAGTTTTTGACTATACACTGAAAGGTTAAAGAAAAAAAGTTGCACACAAATACTTTACTGTAGTTAGTAAATTCGTTTACATGAGTATGGGTTAGCAATTCTGAAACTACATGTATTCCAGGATATGTGTAAAAAATTATTGATACTAAGAAACAGGTTTCTCACTGTTGGAGAAAGGAGTTACAAATAAAGAAATGGCCAAACATGATGAAGACAATTCTCCATGGGTCTCGAGTGTTTCTGCACATCCTGTTTTCAGAGGCACTAAGTGCTATTATTTTGAACTATTTCTCCAAGATATTTATATAGTGAACAGCCTTGGAAGATAGAAACAGTTTCCCTCCAGAGCAAAGGATAGGCATGCTTACTACCTATTATAAAGATTCAGGTTACCTAAATTCAAGTGAACACACAAATACCTGTGTATTTTGCATCACCCTATGGGATCCAGTGCAAGAAAATGTTGATACATTGACTATTGCTATGAGCAATAAACTGTCATTCATCCTGACTCAGAAGTCTCACATCTCCTGCCAGCATCTGTGCAACTCTGGCAAGCTAACTTGTTAACTTAAAAGTAAGGTAAAATCTCAGACACTTCACAGTTCTTGACAGAATCGCATGGTATTGGATTGGAATCGAAAGTATGAGTACAAACTAGTGGGTTTTTTAACATACACAAATAAATAGACAAATAGATATAGATGTGTGTATATATATTTGTATATTTTCTACCTTTGTCCACTGACAAGAACTACAGCAATTACACCCCAGTAGCAATGAGCACACCAGGTGCCCAGAGTTTGGTTTATAAATTCACTCTCCAATAAAAGAAACCAGGGCTCCTTGGAGAAACTGTTGATTCCAGGGCTGGAAAAAGGAAAATACAAGACAGAGCCTGGAACATTTTGGTGCCAGAAAGTAAGAAAGCACTCAAAAATTGACGGCATGTTGAAAGGACACAGGAGCCAACTTGAAGGAGTTTCTAATGGCCAAATCTGGGACAATCTGAGCAACAAACTATATAACAATAAACTCATAGAATAAAACAAATATCCATGAGTTCATACATAAATAATTGAATAAACACACGAGGAATAAGGGACAGCTCTTCCTTACAGCAGAATTTAAATTAACAAATGTAGGAGGGATAATAGAGAAAATCAACACTAGGCAAACATCACAGTAATAATTGTTACAGACGACAATTATCAATGGATGTTAAAATTACTGGGTGAAAGTATGATGAGAAACAGTATTTTTGCATAGTCTCAAAGCATCTCCCCACAAGATACTTATTAATTAAAAAGGGAAAAACAGTAATTTTACAAAGGAGAAACCTGGCAGACACCACCTTATCCAAGTGAGCAAAGTTAACATTACCAGTAATGAGATATACTGCTATCACATGACTCCTGATATGACACACTGAAAAGAATACAACATCATTTCTGTGATCTTTTTGCCAAAAATGCACAGTCTAAATTTAACCATGAGGAAACAGCACATAAATCTTCAAAAGTATCAAGGTCATGACAGATAAAAAGGACTAAAGAACTATATAAAGATGGGAGAAGACTAATAAGACAAGACAATTAAATCAATGTGGGATCTTAGATTGGATCCTGGAACAGAACAGGGCACTGATAAGACATTTAGCAAATTTAAAGGTCTGTAAATTAGCCAAAAGTCTTGTATTAGTGTATATTTCCTGGTTTTCATAATTGTGGTGTGTGCACCTGAGTGAAGAATATATAGGAATTCTCTACACTATGTTTAAAATATGAAAATAAAGTTTTTTAAAATGAAAAAAAATTAAGACGAGGCAAGTGGGTAAGAAGACCTGAACAGACACTTTAAAAACCAGGATATCTAAATGGCCAAAAAACACAGGAAAAGGTGCTGAACATCATTACACGTCAGGGAAACGCAAATTACAACTGCGATGAAATTCCTCTATACAACCACCAGAACAGTTAAAATAAAAGACTGACAATATCAAATAATGGAGACAATGTGGAACAAATGAAACTCACATACATTGCTGGATGGAGTGGAAATTGGTACCACCACATGAGAAATTGGTACTATCTCTTAAAAACATATGCCTACCCTATGATCTAGCAATTCTACTGCGAAACATTTACCCAAGAAAAAAGCATTTATGTGTTTACCAAAAACACAGTAGAAATGTTCATTGCAGCAACACAATCTGTAATAGCCAAAAACTGGAAACTATCAAATGTCCATCAACAGTCTAATCAATTAGTAAATTGCAATATATCCCCAAATGTAATGAGAACTAAGTACAATTACACTCATCAACATGGATAAATCTCACAGACATAATGTGGAACAAAAGAAGTCAGGCATAAAAGAGTACATGCTATATAATTTCATTTATATATGAAGTTCAAAAATGGGTAAAACTAACTAATGGTGATAGAATTCTGAACAGTGATTCTGGGAGAGAAATAACTGGAGTACTGGCAAAGTTCTTTATATTGATGTAGGAAACATACAGCTGTATACTTAAGATTTGTACACTTTATATATACCATACCATAAAAATGTTTTTAAAAAACCTATCAGAACCATGTTTTGGTAGGGATATGGAGCAATGAGATGTTTCAAACATTACTGTGCAGGTATAAATTTGTGCATCCGCTTTGGTAAACATTTTGGCACTATTTAGTAAAGTGGAAAATATCACATGACCCAACAATTCGATTGGCAGGTAGATAAACTCATGAACGTGTAGCCTATGTAAAAGAATGCTCGGGGCAGCATTGTTTATAAAGTAAAACACTAGAAATAACTCAAATGTCCATCATTACTAGAAGGGATGAATAAATAGTGGTATAGTGGAAAAATGGAATACAATATAGCAAAGAAAATAAATGAACCACTATTATATCTAATATGGATAATTCTAAAAAACATAGTTGTACAAATAAGCAAAATAAAAGATAAAAGACAGTATGGCAGCAATGATACAAAGTTTAGAAACGGGGGGAAACTACAGTACAATGGTTAGAGAGGTATACAGAAGTGAAAAAACCTCATACATTTACCCAGTTACACAAACATAATCACACAATCACCATGGGGACATACAGCTAGAGGTAACCCACAACCAAAGCAAAAGGGGAGCAAACCCAGCGCCTCAAACCGTCACATAAGCACAGTCACACATTTACCAAGAGGACACTCAGTCACAATAGCACTAACCACGGATAAAACCACACAATATCTACAGGTGCCCCACCTATACTCTGCAGCACCCAGTCACACAGTCACACAACCACACACCCCTACGGGGACAAACGCTATCACATCCTCGGAGTCACAACCTCCCCACACCCGCACACACAATGCCGCACGTGGTCCCATTCATACACACACCATCGGCTCGCATCCAGTCACACCAGCACAGCCACAGGCTCCCAGACTGTGCTGCATACGGTGATCACTGGAACCACACGCTCACCACAGGAACAGCCAGTCACAACCACACGGTCATTCACCACATACCATCACACAGACACAATCACACCATTTTAATCTCACCTCCTCCGCCATACAAAGCCGAGGCTCCGACTCCGGCCCCGCCCTCTCCTCGGGTCCTCACCACAGGCCTCCCAAGCTTCCAGAGCAGCAGAACCCTCTACAGCACTGCAAGTTGCCGGTGCCAGACCAGAGGGTCCCGCCAGCGCGTGACTTTGAGGCTGAAATCACGCGAGAACGTGTTCATGCCGAGGAGACTTCTGGGAAATGTAGTTAGAGGCGTACGGCTGGCCGGCAAGGTGGCTACTGATCGTCAGGATTCCTGTCAGGGTTAGCTGTGCCCGTTTATCGAACCCCTCGCCGGAGGCCTCGCGGAGCGTGGCTCAGCCTCGGGCCGTAGCTCCCAAAGAAGTCCACCCCTACATGTTTGAAATGGGCTTCTCGGGCCCGTCCTACTATTCCCAAGAGTTGGACAGGCTCAGGAAGAGGAGGGTTAGTTTGCAAGAGGATTCGCACCGCCGAGCCTTCTGGGAAATGTAGTTCGGAGCAGGAAAAGCGGTGGATGGACCGTTTGAAACTTGTTTTGATTCTTCACAGTCTCCTCCTGGCCACATCGCGGAGACTTCTGGAAGTGTCGCTGCGCCCAAGGAGTGCGCGGGCTTCCTAGGTCGCCGTTTTGGCCCTTGTTTGGGCGTGCGTTTGGCTTGGGATTCCTCAGTGCATTGAAGCTGTGGGACCTGAGCTTCTGAGACCCAAAGCTGGTTAGGGAGCCGAAGGGGAGGAGACCAGGAACCTGCAAAGGGATTGGGGAGATGCAGGGGAGGAATCGCTAAACTCAAAACGGGGGTGGGGAGGTCAAAAGGGAGAAGTTTCCGAAATTGCTAAGAGGGCTACTGTTGTTCTGAGCTCAGACTTCTGTATGCAAGTCCGGGCATGAAAAGAATGAGGGCGATGAGGCAGGCTTTGCAGGAAGCAAGTAATGAGAATCCGGGTGTGTGTGACTTAGGGTGTTGGGGGTCGTAGAGAGAAGGCGAAACTGGATTCAGGATTTTGTGTGTGAGTGTATGTGTGTAATTGATAGTTTAAATGAGTATCACTGTGTATATGACTGGGATTAGAGTAATCTCTTAGTCTCATCGGTAAAACAATAACAAGGATAGATATTCCTGGAGCATCAGGGGTTTTTTTGGTTGAAGATTTGATGGGAGAAAGGTGTCAGAAGTTTCAGAAATAGGCAAAGTAAAACCAGTGAATCATGGAAGTGGTAATTAATGAAAGTTGATTGTGCACACACCAAAAGACAGTTGGCGAACCAGAGCCCTCAAACCAAAACAAGGCTCAGGGGTGTATTGTTGTAAAGTAGCTTAGATGGTGAGAAAGCAGTGTCTGTTTATTCTTCACAGTGATTGGTTATAATATTAGAATTTTCTTAAATGATAGAGAGTTGGTCAATGTTTACCTCCTATCAAGCTTGAGAAACAGTTTAAGGTTTGCTTTTAATTTCTAGAGGCATAAACAAGAAATGACCCAGGTCAAGTGAGTTTTGCAAACTAAGCTAAATTAAGTTTTCTTTGTATGACTAAACTAATTTTGTCTACTCAGGGAATTTTCAAGGCTTGTCTTCTGTTTGTTTTTCATTTTAAGAAAGGTTACTTAATGGAGCTGATAAATGATTTAAAGCTAGACTTTTATGTAAAACCAGAAGCATTTATTATGGAATAGAAATAAAAATAGCATTGTTTTCTTAAAAAAGAAAGTCCATTTGAAAGGAACTTTTTTTTTTTTATGGAGTGCTTGCAGTTGCTTGGAGCCCAGACCCTGGGGACAGAGCCATTCAGTCTTTTGTGTTCTTTTAGAGTCCTGGGGGAGGGGTGTAGGTGTAATGAACTGATTTGTGAAATCCAGGACTAAGAAATAACTAAAGTTTAAAGGGTAGTGTCGACCAAAGCAAATAGCAGAGAAGTGAATTAAGCAGTGTTATTCCCATTTTCTGAAGAAAAAAATCATAGCTTAGAGAGATCAGGGAATGTAAGTTTAAAGTTCTTCAAAGAGCCTATTCAGATCAACTGACTTACTGATTTCCTCTGGCTGCCCCCAAGCCAGGTAGATTTAGTTAAGTATAAAAATAAATTGCTTCTAACTGCAAAGATGCTTTCTCCAAGTATTTTACTACAGTTACTTCTAACATAATTTTAAGTAAAAGGAGAAAATAAGGTAGTTAGGTATAAAATTCATGTAAATAAACTTCATATATACAAACAAAACCTTGGAATAAGATAAAATGCTTCAGAATAATCCTAGCAAGAAATAAATAAAATATATATAAGAAAAAGTTTAAAACACTATGAAGGACACAAAAAATGACTGAAGAAATGAAAAGTTTTACCCTATTCTTGACTTGAAATCCATACCATCATAAACATGTCATTTTAAATTAATTTATGAATTTAACATGATCGCACTGAAAATAATGTATTTTTCTAAATAGAGAGGCGTTATTCTACAGTTCAAGTGGAAAAATAAAGGTAAGAATAGACAATCTCTGGAAAAGAAAGCAGTGGAGGGTATTTGGGGCTAGTCTTACCAGATAACAAAACATACTCTAAAACTTCAAAAAATGAAATAATGTGGGATTGTCATCTGACTAGACAGATCAGTGGAGCAGAATAGAGAATCCAAAAATAGAACCAAATAAAGGATTTTAGTGTGTGGTGAATAGGCATCTCAAATCAGTTGGGAAAAGATGGACTTTTCAATAAAGATAATAGGGACAATTTGGTAACCTTTCTGGAAAAAAGAAAATAGATTATGCCATGTACTGAATCCAGAGTTAACTCGAAATGGGTCAAAATTTAAAACAAAAAAATTAAATTAGAAAGACTGAAAACTTTGAGTGAATTACTTTATAACCATGGAATGAGGAAGGTCTTTCTAACTTCAAAATCCAAAAACCAAAACATAAAAGATTGGTTGTCCCTACTACATGAAAATTAAAGTGGCAAACTGGAAAAATATTTGCGTTTTATGTTACAAATGGCTAATCTCCCTGATACATAAGGAGCACCCAAAAAAATCGATTAAAAAAAAAGGCTAACAGTCCAATAAAAATGTAGAAAGAGGTAAATAATACACAGAACAGAGTCTACGTATACATAAATATATACATGAAAATACGTAAAACCTCATTCATAGTTAGATAAAAGCCATTAAAACTGTGTAGAGATAGTTTCTTATGACTAGAATGGCAAAAATTCCCAAAATTTGAAGACTTATATTGCTAGAGGGACTGCAGATTGGTACAAACTTTTTGAAGGCCATTTGGCAGCATCTTTCAAAATTCCAGTTGCATTTAACCTTTCACTGTGCAATCCCGCCTCTGGGATTTTATCCTACAGATCTAGTTATGTGGTGATGCATATCCAAGGTTATTCATGTAGCACTCTTCACAATACAAAAATATTGAAATTAGCCATAAATAAGCCCATTAAACATAGTGTAACACTATGCAATTAGAGAAAAAAATGAGAGCACTGTGTACAGCCTGGTATGAAAAGCGTCCAAGATACATTAAGTAAAAACAAAAAACAAGATGCAGAACCTTATGTTATAATATGCTACTTTTTGTATAAAAATTGAGGGGGGAATAAGAATAAATATATGTATTTGCACAAAAAACTGAAATTTGTATAAGAAACGAATAAAAATGATTTCTGTGGCAGGCATTGGGGGCAATAGGATGGGGAGGGACAAAGAAGGGAGTAATTTTTCATTATATACTTTTTGGGGACATATTCTTTCTACATAAATTTTTATTCATTGTCATCCTTACATGAGAAGGAAGAGTTGATTTTTTGTGTTCATTTCGTTGTGTACATTTCTTTCCAGAAAGGTATGATGACCACTTTCTTGACAATTTCCTTGGCATCCTTGAAACCACTCTTATTCTAATTCTAATCCTCTGATCACTAAAACAAATAATTAACAACAACAATGATAAAAATACTAATGAATTATTTCCACATGTCTTTTTATTTTTATTTTTCCCTAACTATGAAATGAGTATTTGCTTTAATGGTTAAGTGAGGTAATATATGAAAGTGTCTAGGATGGCGCCCCAGAAACACATTAGGCATACAGTAAATACTCATTGAACCTAACCAACTTGTCTTTTTAAAATTCGGATTCTGTCTTTGACCATCTTCTCTTAATCTGTATATATATTTTTTTAGCAACCATATTCCACTATCACGGCTTCAACAATGTTTACTGACTCATGACCAACAAATGTGTTTCCATTCTAGGCCTATCTTTTTTTTTTAATAATTGTGGCAAATTATACATAAGATAAAATTTACCATTTTAATCATTTTTAAGTGTATACATATATACAGTAGCAGTACATTCACATTGTTGTGCAACCATCACCACTATCCCTCTCCAGAATGATTTCATCATCCTAAACTGAAACTCTGTACATTAAACAATAATTTGCCATCCCCCCTCCTCTCAGCCCCTGCTAACCCCTGTGCTATGTTCTGTCTCTATGAATTTGACTATTCTAGGTACCTCTCATATAGGGGAACCATACAATATTTGTTCTTTTGTGTCTGGCTTATTTTGCTTAGCATATAGTGTTTTCATGTTTCATCCATGTTGTAGCCTATGTCAGAATTTCATTCCTTTTGAAAGCTGAATATTTCATTGTATTTTTATACCCCATTTTGTTTATCCATTTATCTATTGAAGGACATTTGGGTTGTTTCCATCTTTTGGCTGTTGTGAATAATGCTGCTGTGAACATGAGTGTACAAATATCTCTTTGAAACCTTGCTTTCAGTTTTTTTGTGTGTGTATCTAGAAGTGGAATTACTAGATAATATGGTGATTAAATGTTTAATTTTGGGGGGCAGAGGGGTTGGAATATTGCCCCTAAGCTAACATCTGTTGCCAATCTTCCACCTTTTTTTCCTTTTTTCTCCCCAAAGCCGCAGTAGATAGTTGTATGTCATAGTTTTACATCCTTCTAGTTGCTCTGTGTGGGACATCGCCTGAACACGGCTTGATGAGTGGTGCGTAGGTCCCTGCCCAGGATGCGAACCAGCGAATCCTGGGCTGGCGAAGCAGAGCTCGCAAACTTAACTGCTACACCACTGGGCCAGCCTCTAAATGCTTAATTTTTTGAAGAACCGCCATACTGTTTTCCATGGTGGCTGTACCATTTTACATTCCCACTAGCAGTGCATAAGGTTCCAGT